ATTTAAAACTATATAACTACAACAGTTTAATATTTGCTTTAGCATCAAAGACAGTATTTTAAATGTGCTTATTCTTGGTAAGCAAAAGTGAAATAGAGATTTATACAATGTATAAGAATTCAAACACTACCGGTGATTTAGGACAGCCAAACAAGTCCATGACATAAAATGAGTAAATAAAACTCGTGGTGGAGACATGGCATAAATATTGCTTATATATGCTTCTTTCAGGATGTCTAAATAAGTATTAGCAATAAACAAATAACAGCCGTCAAGAACAGAGTTTGGAACATTGCGAAAAGCATTTTTCGATCTTTTCTCCGTCAAGTCTAGTATTTGCAAAAATAATTTTGATGACAAGTGGAGGAGGAACGTGTCTCTGTTATTAACTCCCATTCAGTTGGGCGACGAGCTAAACAAAAAACCACGAGCAAGCACGATTCTTTTCACGGAATGACTTCATTTAGCCTCCATCAAAACAAATTATAACGTCTAAGACGAGAAACCGTCATAAACGGGTGTCTGGCACAAAAGCATCTGCTTAACTAATTTCCTGTTTTCGTTACCTTCGGGAGGGTCTGCGTTAAACGCTGGAAGATATTCAGTTGCCGAGTTGGACGATTATGCGGATAACGCGGGCCAAGTGATTACAGGACGAAGGAAAACAGCTTAAATAGGTGATTTCTCAGACACCGATCTGCATAAAGGCACATTAGGTTTTCTGCTGCATGTTTTATGAGCTGCACGACACAGGATAATATCAGGCCATTTCCAAAACGTAGGAAAAAAAGGAAAGATTATCACAGAAAAAAACACACATCTCATTTATTTTCCACAGCTTCTTCTGGGTGAAGACGCAAGATCAAAGCAGAGATCTCCAGATCCACAAATAGTTTAAAGACAATATAATGAGACATAAAGAAAGCATCATAGCTTGGACAAAGCATTTTCATGTACTGAATAAAAAGGCATGTTTTTGTCTCATGTGAACTTCCTTATTTTCTATACTCAGTCTTGAGCAACTAAAGCTTGCCCAAGACTGAGTACTTCCTCAATAGTGTCAGATTTTTTAAAAAAATGTTTAAGGTATGAATGAATGAAAGTATCCTTGATGAACTTAGCTAAATCTGCAAGGTTCAGTTGTTTTGAGAAAATTTAATCTCGGCGTTTCTTTTGATAGCTGAATCTTTAAACTTCTAGGCATGAAGCAGCAAATCATATATGCATTCTTGTGATTTCATTGGGCTGGATAGTTTATAGATTGCAATTCAGCACACCATTTATCTGCATTTGGAGCCTCAGAGCTCTGCAGAAGCATAACGATAAAAAAAAAAAGCTTTCAGCATTTCCATCAATTAAAAGTTTGTTTCCTTTCTGCATTCTTCCTCTAATTGTCTCCATCTTTGCTGTTCTTTATTGCTGCCTCTTGTAAAGGTCCGAGTACAAATCAGACTCAAAACTCATTCCCACACCTCAAGAATATGATAAACCGGTGGTTTTATTGATGATCAAAATGAGAGAGATGATGAGCAACTTCACATCAGGATCGTCTTTCAGGTCAGACTCTGGGAGATTGATTGTTGAGTGTCTGGCAGTGCAAACAGGAAGTAATCAGGAAATGGCAAGTTACCCACTAGAGGTGGTTTCTGAGTTGATCCTTTTCAGAGACTCGGACCCCAATTGACTTGAACCCTCTCTGATTTAAGAATGGGAGACTACAGAGTATCCTTTAACACGGGATTGTTTTGCCCACAGGACAATATAGAGGGGAAAACTTCACGTATTATTCTGAACCGTATTGGTTTTTATGCCTGAACTTTTGTCAGAAAGCATCTCAGATTCTCAACGCCTTTTTTTTTTTTATGCACCACCATTACCAAACCAAGCTGCAGATTGTTTTTCAGGAGGGAAGTTTGGACTTTAAAAGAGAACAACATCTTTCTTTTTTTTTCACAGATTGTTCAAAGACCATCATCAGATCAAGAAAAAAAAAAAAAAAACGATTCTGACTGAAGCTCCACAATCAGAACATCTCTGTTCTTTCTAAAAATAAATATGATCAAAACCTGTCTGATCTAAGACGAGACGGGATCATTTCAGATCAGATTTAAACCTGCTCGGTAACAATGGGAGAATATTTATAGCTCTGAAACAAAAAACAAAAAAACAAAAAAAAGTTTCGTTTTTCATCTCAGTGCTGATGGATTCCGTCTGATGTTTCCGCAGCTCAACCTAATCTGAGCCACTCCACCGCATTGTTTGGAAGGTAGACTGCAGCCTCTACGCGCCTCTAATCCACACAACGCACAAACACGTGTGTTTTCTTTGAGCCTCATGCGACAAATGGATTCATCAAGCTCTTATCGACTCTTTCTTCGTGTTCGAACTCCCTGTTGGGGTCAAACCAGGGGCTTAGACACGCTGCGATGAGAGATGTGATGATCGGAAAATAGGGACTTACTTGGCGTAAGCTCGACTAAGTTGAAGTCAAAAAAAAATAACACAGACGTTCACCTGAAGACTATAAATCATTCAGTGTAAGTACTCAGTTGTAATCTCTATGCGGCGGAGCTCTGTTTCTCCAGAGTCTGAGCCTCCTGTGCCAGATGAAGAGAGCTCACCTTTGCTCTTGGTTTGTCACCTCTTTCTACAGAGATCAGCCCCCTTCCCTTCCCTCCACCTCCAGGCTGCTCAGCACCAGAGCTCTCTCTCCACAGACCAGGGCAGACGCCATGAAATTGTTTTGTTTTTTTTCCCTGTCAAATCACTGAAATTACATTGAGTTTAATCTGTCCCATTTATTTATTTATTTTTGCTAAATATTGAAAGTATTAAGATCTGCAAATAGCACATTAACAAAGAATGTGTTTTATTCCCTGAAGAATGTAGTTTCATGCCAGCATTTCTAACATGGACAACTATGGAGTGAAATCCAGTATTACACACACACACACACACACACACACACAGTTATTTTGAGACTAGTTTCACTCCGTAGCCAACTGACTGTGGCAGTGTTCATTTTGAATTGGATGAAATTTTAAGCTTAGATTTATTTGCTTAAGATGAAAGTGCATTGTTTAGTGTTGGAGCTGTGATTGTGTCTCCTCAATTTCATTTTATTAGTCTAATTATTAGAAGTGATCATTTACTATTGACTTAAATATGTTTACAACTGATATGGTAACAACTCGTGGCTTACAAAACGTAACACCTGAACTCTAATTCTTTTCTTTTAATAAAAACAAAACAAAACAGAAGTTAATGATATGCTTCACTTTGAAGTTTTTGTAAAGAGAATAAGAAACAGACACAGCCTTTAACTGTGGACAAATTGGCATGTGGTAGATCTTTTTTTTTTTTTTCCAATTTTGAGCTTCCTTGTGGGGGGAGTCCCCCAAGGATCCCTACTTGGTTTAAAGATTTCCAAAGGTTTTTATGCTTCCTTTTGGTTCCGTTCATGAACCGTCCCTCCCATACTGGACTTTCTCAATGAAATACATTTATAGATACCTGAATCCCCCTCACCCCCCACATGAATCTGTAAACTTTGGTAATGACACTTTTTCAGAACTTTGTGGTTTGCGGTGACTAGTACTCTCCGAAAAACGACAAGATAGAACATTTTTGAACGAGTAATGCAAATGTTTCAGCTGAGAATTTTTGCTGAAGTAAATCTGTTAATCAGTTTTTTTTTTGTTTTTTTATCTGTACATGATCACAGCATTTCATTTGAGCATCATCCTTCCTCTGGTCGACGATGGCGAACGATTCACATTTTTGCCTCTTCTCAGAATCATTCGTCTGAAACCGTTGACTCAGTGTGATCACGCTTTCTTTATGAATCTATGATGTTGCTGATGTTCAGCCCCTCATCTTGCTCCTTCCCTCCATCATCCAAACACACACACACACTGTCAGTTAATGCGAATATATGACGAGGCAATGAAAGTTGTATAACGATGCCACCTGACAGCCCATTAAACCGGAGAAGGATGAGGATACAATTAGATTGTCATCCACTCTAGAGTTACAGCCGACAAACCAGATGGATGGAAGTGAGGGTGGGTGGGGGGGGGAGGTTAAATAAAAGACGGGGGTTCTTGTTTCTGGAGAAAGGCCAGGTTTTTCAGGGTGAGTGGGACGAGTCGCTGACAGGATGTCAAATGATCGAGAGACGGTGATCATTGGCTGTGATCGGCCACGTCGTAATGTTCGGCTGCTGAGCTTAAAGGACCAGGAGACGGGTGAAGTTTTCCTCTGGGTGACATAAAATCCCTCCTCATCCTCTTGTCACTTCTTCCTCTGAAAAGACCAGACTTCACTTTGAATGGAGCGACAGATTTACAGCTCAGCCACTGTGTGGTAATTCAGTCAGAGAGTGCAACTAAATGTTTAAGAGCAGCAGCGGTGGCAACACATCAGGTTCTTTGAAAGCCTTGGCAGCTGAGGAGAGAAGGGATGAATAATGAGGAAAAAAAAACACAAAAATTAGTTAAAAAAAAAAAAATATATATATATATATATATATATATATATATATATATATATATTTAGACTGACTGCGAAGCTGCAGAGGGGTCAAAAGGCCAAAGTAAGTCACACAGCAACACAAATTCTTTAACAGCAGATAATATTCCATGAACTTTCTGAATCAGTCGTTTATATGTCTTTATTTTTGCAAAAATGTCACATAGATTATGTTTTACAGCTGAAAGTTTTTTTTTTTTCCACACATCTTGTATGTAATATATATGGTGATGTAAGCATTTTTATTTCCAGTTTATCGATGCTGCTTAGAGTATGAAAATTGGTAGTTTACTTTAGAAATGTCTTTGTATTTTAACAAGTTTCCATTTCATGGTGGGAATAAGTCACAGAGCCCCTCTGTGTGTGTTTTTAGGTATGATACACCTTGTAGTGACATGTTTCGGCCAGCAGGAGGTGTGATGCTCCTTTCATGAAGCTGACTGGTTCAGTTCAGTGGGTTATAGATTGCGGTGGGTTTATTAACTCTCTCTGTGGGAGAGTTAACTGGAAATATTTAAATGTCCGTTTTTGGTTTGGATCCTTCTTGTCAAATAAGTTCAAACTAGGCTGGTTTATTCTACGACGAAAGCAAACAAACAAAAGTATCAAAACTGTTATTAAGACATTGAAAAAGGAAGAAATATCCGATTCTTAAATCAACAAGATGCATTCTGTGATCAGAAAAACTCGAGTAAAACGTTAAAATTATGTTTTTTCAAACGTTTGATGGGTGAAAATCAAAGGATAATCTTTTCTCTGGAGAACCACATGAAGTTGGAATTGAAAAAAAAAAAAACCGTAGTTCTGCACTGAACAATCCAACGAATCAATGGTTAATCTCAGGGTAGCTGCAGGTCACAAGAGGTTGTTCTCAGTGAAGAAGATTATTGGTTAAATTCTTGGAGGAAACTTTAAACACACACACACACACACACACACACACACATTTTAACGTTTAATTCAAAGTTTGAAAAATAATGAATGAGAAAAAAAAGAAGAGTCTTAGAAATCATGGCTCAAACAAAGTTGTATCCGGTTGGGAGATGAGATCATTTTCCCGTCTGAGGATAAAGTTAAAACGGGTGTCAATGTTGGTCAAATTGATCTGCATCCGAATCTCTTAAGAACTCACTGATGTTAATTCAGACTGAGGAGCAACTTCACCGTCTCACAGAAAAGCAGAAACCACTTTAAACAAGAAAACCTCCACGTACAAATTCTAGTTCAATCACAAGAAAACAAAGTTAAACTAACCACAATGTCAGTCTTATTTATTTATTTATTTATTTATTTATTTATTTAATTTTCTCACCATCTCAGCTTTAAAATGAAACTGCATTAGTGGGAGTGTGGAACGGGCTGAAGATCCAGAAGAGCTTCTCCAGACGGACCGTGGTGGGAACCCGCGGAGCTTTCTCTCAGCATTTCACACCACACGTAGTCAAACAATTAAAAGACATTTCTGAGTCTCATTCTGTCGCAAGAAATATCCTTTAATTGTAAGGCCAGGTGCAGCACTCTCCGATTCCCCTCCTCCTTCTCCTCTCTCTCTCTCCCTCTCTCTCTTTCTCTCTCCCTCTCTCCCTCTCTCTCTTTCTCTCTCCCTCTCTCTCCACGCTGCTCGGTAACAGTGCCGCACCGACAGCTGGTCCGCACCTGTAAAGGACATTACGGGACATGTCAGTGACGTCACAAACACACAATCGGCCAGAGGCTCGACTCTGCAAAAGGTGTGTGTGTGTGTGTGTGTGTGTGTGTGTGTGTGCATGTGTGTGTGAGACCCTTCAGGGTTTGACCACAGCGACCTGTTGGGAACTCCTTCCTCCTCCTCCTCCTCCGGTTGTTCTCATCCATCACGCACAGAAACGCAAAAGAAAACGCTTGGACACACTTCCTCGTATTCGGACCGATGAAAAGAAGAAGAAGAAGAAAAAGATAGTGTCATGTATAGAATGAATGAATGAAGACTCGGGACAAAAAAAAAAAAAAAAAAAAAAAAAAAAAAGGGAAGGCTGATACGGAGGTTTGATTCGGTCCGGTCGCGGGCGCGTAACTGAGAACCTCTCCAAGGTGCTGAAATGGAAACGCAGCTTCACGCAGATGTTAGGGAGGAGAAAAAGCGGTCATTCCGCACTGCAACTCCACACACGGTGTGTGTGTGTGTGTGTGTGTGTGTGTGGGGTGCCAAGGGAGAAGCTGACAGCTTCCCGGTCTTTCCTTCCATCTTCATGTGATGGGATGGATGAAGCCGAGAGATCAGATCTCGAACATTTACGCACAAGCATGAGAGTCACAAAGCACAGGCAAGCGCGTCCCCGCGTAAATCCAACTTAAGCAACACTCACTTGTCTGCGCAAAATAAATAAATAAATAATATTCACCCCGATTTTCTCCCAAGGAGAAAAGGAGCGACTAATACTTAAAAGTACTGCCAGTTTCCGGGCGTTTTTATTTATTTTTTTTTTTTAAAGAAAGTAAGTCTCAGCCCGGTTTCTTCTGCCCCCGAATGAACACCCGAAACCTTACCGAGAGAGCGAGCATCACCCCGGGGGCGACAGAGCCTCTGCGCCTCCTCCTCCTCCTCCGCGCTGCGCTGCGCTGCGCTCCGGCTCCCATCCATTCCATCCCTCCATCCCACCATCTCCATCTCCATCCCGCGCCTCTCTTTTCTCCGCTCCGGCTTCCAGCACCGGAGATAGATGCTCTGCAGTCACGTGGGTCGGAGGAGAGGAAAGAGAAGTGATGGAGAGAAAGGAGGCAGGGAGGGAGAGACAGAATGAGACAGAGAGAGAGAGAGAGAGAGAGAGAGAGAGAGAGAGAGAGAGAGAACGTCCCTCCTCCTGCTCCTCCGCAGTTTGCAGTGTGTGATGTCTCAGACTCGGAGGTAGAGAGTCAGAGCTGCTCGTCCGGCGGATCTTAACCTCTGAAACAAACCCCCGGTGTCTCCTGTCATCCTCCCCCCTCTTCCCCTCTCACCTCCCCGGCTTTGCTCCTCTCTGGAGCCCCTGGAAGCTTCTCCCTGTTTCTTCTTCTTCTTCTTCTCTCTAATCTCCTTCTTCAGCCCGACTTTGACCAACACTTTCTTCTGTGGGATTTAGTTTTCTGCTCATTACTCCCTCCCAACACTTCGCCGCCGCCGCCGCCGCTGCTCCCATTCGGATTTGCTCGCCAGTGACAAGAAGAACCCCAAAGAATCGGCGAGGTGGATCCGTGGATGCGCCTCTGGGGCTCGAACTGGAGATGGAGATGCTGATACTGTTATTTCATTCCTTGTGGATATTGCAGTGCAACACAGCGAGCGCCGACTCCATCATCCACATCGGTAAGAGAGAGCACCGGGGTTTTTTTTATTTTTATTTTGGCGCTCAGCTGTGTGCGGGTTTTGGCTGCGGGGAGCGAGTGGGATCTGGGGAATGTGAAGTGGCTTGTGCTGTTAGGGCTGCGGGTGCAGGCGCTCATTTCCAAACATCTCCGCAGTGTAAAGATAACAACAAAAAACAAAAACAAAAATGTACTTACTCTGGTAGCTGACTGTCCTTCCGAGGAGGGTAGGTGTGCAGAGGAAGAAAGGAAGGAGACTGTTGCATTCTGGCTCAGACGCACGCAGAGTGGAGGCTGATAGAGCGCCCCGCGCCCGGGTTGCGCCATCCATCCATCCATCCATCCATCCATCCATCCATCCATCCATCCATCCATCCATCCATCCATCCTCCCCACCTCCCTTACTCTCCATCTCCATCTCTCCCACTCCTCCCCCTCATCTATAAGCGTGAACTTTCAGTTGGACGTGAGTGAAATGTTAATCAACTCCGGCAGAGGAAGTGATGACAGAGGGGGGACAAAACGGCGACTGTTCGGGCTTTTCAGGCGTCCAAGCGCCGGCCTCCCTTTCTATCACGTTATTTCCTGCTGCTTCAGTCCAGACACGGTTTCACTAAGAAGAGAAAAAAAAAAAAAAAAAAAGAAAGAAAGAACGGAAGTCACACACAGGCAGAGATGATCCAGATCCCCCCCCCCCCCTCCCCACCCCCTGGTGTCCTGCAGCCAGAGCTTTGTGCCGGTGGCAGCAATGCGGTGGGCCATGGGTGCTGAAGCCAGCAGAGGGGAAGAGGAAGAGGAGGAAGAGGAAGGCTGCAGAGTCATTCTGCAGAAGGACACGCATCCCCTCTTTAAGTGGTTGATGGAAAACAAACCATGAGGGAAGAACAATCGGCTCAGGAAGAGGGCCTCTAAAAGTCTGTGAAGTCAAACCTGGTGTGTGTTTTGGGTGGCGATGAAGCGAACACGGCCGGCCTGAGGGATAAGCGGAGTTTGCGGCTGCTGAGGTCCGATTCCTGGCAGGGCCAGACTGAGACTGTGCTGTATTTTAGCTATTTGTGTTTTAAAATTTGAACTACTTTATAGTTAATGTGCTGTGTTTTAACTATTTGAGAGAGGAAAAGCCATTTTCCACGAGGCTAACATAAAGATTGGATCCATCCATCCATCCATTGACTCTGTCAGTCCCCTCCAGCCCATTCTGGGGGATCATGTCTGGAAAACTTCCAAGCCGAGGCCTTCATGGATTCGCTCTAACCACCTCGGTTTTCTCCTTTGGCTGCGTGGGAGCATCAGTTCTCTGAGCTGGAACATGTTGTGGAGGATGCTGCTGCTTATGTGCAGCATCTCTTTTCTTTTGGTCACATCCAAGAAATAGCTTTTGTTTGTTTTTAAGGTAGACTTTTAAATGTTATCACCTTAATGCGCTTTTATCCGCCAACATATCTGTTAAGGTTAAGACAAGTGGCTAAAAACTAGAACTAAGTTGCTTGAATTGACCAAAACCAGGAACAGATGAACAATTCTCCCATCTAAACAGTTTAACGTTTCCTAAGACACTAAACATTACCGAAGTGAGCAAGTGGGTCTAAAGGGGCCTTCAGCTGAAGGCTTTACAGAACCTTGGGGTCGCTGCTTCCTTTCTCTTCCTCTTTCTCCTTCTTTCTTGTTGACCGGATCCGTCCCTGTGTGGACAAAGTAGAAATCCGGGGACAGGCTCGGATGTACGCGTGGACAGATGGGAGGATATCGGTATCCCTCTGGGAGGAATCGGCATTCAGCGGGAACAATGCAGAGCAGTGGCGTGGGATTATTACAAACACAGATCAGTAAATACATTGGATTAGCGGCACGACCCAGCATGCTGTTCTGTTGATGATTCACGGGAGTGCGAGAGAGATTTAAGACCTGCTACTGATACATTTGGGTTGTTTAGATGGAAGACTCTGCAAACTTTGGAACCGGGAACTGAAACCCAAACAAAGAGGTCCGATATAAGCTGTTTTCACCCGTTCCCGACTGGGTGGGAGGATTCAGCTCCTCCAGACTAGCCAGCAGCAATTAGCAAACACCTGGTGGAGATGCGAATCTACTGAGCTCATGATAGAAGCTACTTCTCAATGAAACCCTGGTAAAAATGTTGTGATGACTTTCTGAAGGCGGAGTGTTGGAAGGAGCAGAGACAGAGGCCCAACTTTAAGGCATTCATTTACAAAAGTCCCATTTCTTTTAAGTCACATTTGTTATATCGCACACGAAGGTAACACAGAAGGGAAAACACATAATACAGTCCCTTTAAACTATAATTCTCATAGGAGAATGCTTATATATATTGTCTGTAATTTATCCTATTTTTAAACGAGTGCTATCACTTTATTTACGTCTACAAGTATTATAGGTGCTGTTTGTCAACACCGTTTAAGTGGAATTGAAATCTTGGACCACAATTGCTGTTTCTTCTCCGGTTTGGTTGGTTGCTACAGCTGGATCGTTTCTCGGCCGAGTATACTCAGTCACTGTGATTATCCAGCTTCTGGTGGAGACTTGAGTCGTTGTCTTCCGGATCATTTAACAGATTCTGTTGGCTTACAAGGAAGGTGAATTCATTTTCCACATTAAGGACGCTGTTGTGTGGAAACGCCGACGAAAATGCATGGAAGCTCTCGTCCTCAGAGCAGAGCAGCAGCGGGTTGCTCAGCTGCGTTCGGGGGCTGGACGGGGGGAAGGAGGGGCTCTGTTGTTTCCTTCAGCCTCCTGACGGCCGGATCGACTTGGCAACGCGGCGCAGCAGGACCCATATCAGATGTGACAGTTTTTCAGCCTCTGCTCTGAACCCACCTCCCCCTCCGTCCACCCCTCTACTCCAGCATCTGTCTCGTCCAGCCGCGCTGGTGATCATCTGTGACGTTTCCCCCGGTTTGTTTGTCCCCTCGTCTCCTCTGTCCGCCGCGGAGGATCAGCGGCAGGCGGAGAGGTCAGCAGTGAGGTGCTGATGGGAGGCATGAGGAGGGGGCCGATTGGTAAAAGAGCTGATGCGCAATAAAATGCGGGAGCCGGGGCCTTCAGTCAACCAAACCCTTTGACCACACGGTCTGCTGCTGCGTTCAAGTGCAGCACTGGTGCAAAACCCGGCACGGTCAAGGTCCAAGAGTCTGCAAAATTATATCTGTGCAGATTCCAGCGGCAGCAGCTGCTTTCTCTAATTAGTTACACTCCCTGTTCTTTGGTTCAATGTGCATAAAATCAGTAAAAACAGCTGCTGTGTTTTTTTTTTGTTTGTTCTTTTTTTTTTTGTGCCTTGAAAGAAAAGCAGCGGTCGAGGAACATCAGAGAGTGGCAAACTGGAGCAAATCGGCTTCCAGTTAATTTCTGCCTTTAATTAGATCTCTGAGATCAAGTCGTCAGCTACAGGTACGTCCAGGACATCAGGAGCCCTCCGGTTGGGTTTCGGGAGAACATCTTCTTCCAAAGAGGCAGCAGTGGAAGTGATTATTGGAAGCAGACGCACAGCTGGATGTCAAACCTGAACAGACAACCCCACCAGCACTCACAGATGGAGAAAACAAGCTGCGTGTTCTGGACAAAAAAAGGAAGAAGATCTTTTGTTTCAGAACACCGTGTCAGGAGCTCCCCAGGAGTTCGGAAAATACCTTCCTTTTTTTTTTAAATTTACATTGCGCCACTGAAAACACACAAGGAAAGCTTTGATAAAGCACTTCAGAGAAAAAGAAATCAGCAGAATACCTTGATTCCCAGCACAACCTTGACTTGATAAGGTCAAAGGTATTGGTCTTGGTCTCATTGGTGTTTATGTCTAATTTAAAGCTCTCATAGATCCTGACTGAACTGCATATAATTCTAATTCAAAGAAAACAAAACAAAAAAAATACAAAAGCTGCTAAAACGGGTAAATTAAAAATATTTAGCAGTAGAAGCACCCGATCAATGAAATAAATATGGAAAAAAAATCGGTAGACATCTGCCACCTGACATATTAATTCAACTTTTAAAATATTTTTTAGTTAAAGAATTTGCATTGTTTTTTTTAATGCTTTTATAATATTTAATGTAGCTAAACTGTAAAAACATGAACAAACGTAATTCTAATATTTTTTTTTTTTTTTGTTACTGGAGTTGATTCTGTTAGTTACAGTTGCTTCTCTGCTATTTGAACAAAAACAAAACAAAAGCATCTGGAACTGTATGTAGTTTAAGTTTATTATGTGGGGCTCTTTGATTGGCTGTTGAATAATTAGCTTAATTAAAACCAACTTTTTTGTATGCTTTACGTCATGTTATAATGTTATTCCCTCATCAAAACATACTTGGAGTGTTGCCTTGATTCTTTCATGCATCGCTGACAAATCCTTTAATCTCCCATGGCAACCATTCAGCTGTGCAAAACGCCTGGATGGACCTATCACCACCTTAAAGGCGCAGTTTCCAAGCTCCATGTCTCTCCCACTCAGCTCCTTCAAACTAGCTAGCAGCAATTAGCAGACACCTGGTTGAACTGCGCATCTGTTGTATGGGCGCTGCTTCTCAGTGAGACGCTGCTTGATAGAAGAGCCATGCTGTGACGACTTCATGAAGGTGGAGTTTCAGAAAGAGAAGTAGTTTTTAAAGAGACAGAGACCCAATTTCAAGCCGTTAAATTACAAAGTCAAAAATATTTTATGTCATATTCGATATATGCAGCGTTTTTAAAACTGAAAGTAAAATAGTTGATTGTGCTGTGAAATGGCACAATGTGGCAATAAAATACATAATACTGCCCCTTTAAAAAGGTTGAAAAGCATTTGCTGGGTAGATTTCTGGCACCCTGAGAGTAGCAGTCTTTTGAATGTCACTTTCTGTTTATTTTTTTATCTGTTTTTAGTAAAAGCATAAACATAGCAGCTGGATTCAAATACCTCTTTTTTTTTTCAAAGAAATGTGTCTTGTACGAAAGAGCTTAAAGGGGCTAGACTAGTGCCCCACTTACAATATTCCTCATACTGTGTTGTGATTATTTTCACTGGATTAATTAGTTCAGCCACTCAGCTTTGGCTCTCAGCGCACATTAAGCTGTGACTTGGTGCACATTCGGAAGAGGTAGTGTCGCGTTACGGTTTAAACTACTGACCCACATGCACGAAAACTCCCAGGAGACCAGTAAAAAACAACAACAAAAAAAAGTTCATCAGGTTTATTGTTACAGATGGAATAAAGTCCAGACTTTTCCCAAGGTTCTGTGGAAGGAGGGCAATATAGAGTTGGGAAGAAGACCGTGATAATAAGGATGATGGAATAATCTTGCTGGAGGAAGGAGAGCGTTCTGGGTTGCCGGTCTGTGTGGTAGTCGAGTCTCGGCTTGGAGGATGATGGCGGTTTGGATCTAAGCTGCTGACTGTGGAGGATGATCCAGGGGGACTTGTTCTTCCAGCAGTAAGACGTGGGTTCAGAGGACGATATTCCAGCAGGAGACGCAGAGAAATACCTTAGGAGGTAGCGCAAGGAAATAATTAGTGAAAGAGGTCTGAAGCACACGGAAAACACGAGGAAAGACTAGAGGTACCACTTAAGCTAACACGCAGGCGAAGAACGATCAGCAGCTCGCTCCTCTTATCCTCCAAGGCTGATGGCTGATGATCCGCAGGCGTGTGGGAGCAAACCTTCTCGCCCCCACCATCCGGGGAGAAACCTACAGGCACCGGAAAAAGCACCACACAGACAGGAGCAACCCAGTTCCCTGACAGGTAGAAGGACTTCACATCGTAAGAGTGTGAAGCTCAGTTCTATGGTGTCGGGCGAATCCTCGGTTCTGTGGCTTTTGTGAACTTTTCAAGTCTATAAAAGTGCAGCGAAAGTTTTCAAACCTGCTAGTTTTCTTTTCTTTTTTACATTTTGTATTGCTGCATACACAATGTTGACATGTTCTCTTGGGATTTTATGCAATAACCCAACACAAGGTAGCACATAGTTGTATAGAGGGAGGAAAAGAGTTTAAAGGTTTTTGACCAGTAAAAGACAGAACAGAGGAGAGCGCATTTCTGTTCAGCAGCTGTTACGGCTGCAAAACCTTTGGTTTGTCTCAGCAAATTTAGAGTCTGAAATTTTTCTTTAGTCCCCGTAGCCTATCCATTTTCAAGTCTCTCGGCTGCTGGTAGATCAGAATTTTGATTGGACCATTTTATATAAATTTATTATAAATAATAGTAAAAATCCACTTTACAATTATGTACTTCCCTTGCCTAATAAAAAAAAAAATTGCAGTCGGTGGTTCTAATATGATGAAACGTAAAAATGCGGTGTGAATACTTTAGTGAAGCCCCTACCGGCATTACTTCAGCCTGTAATTGGGATTGTGTTTAGCTGTTTGTTTCTCAACAACAAAGACCGACCTGGGAATGGGGGGTAATTAGAGAGTTAAGAGTGATTTTTATTGTAACTGCGTCGTAAAAGCAAAACAATGAGCTGCAGGAAGTCGAAAAATCAATGGCGCCCGGTCTGCAAAGGAGCGCTCTTACACCGCATGCAGCCATTTTCATTTGTAGTTTAATTATTTGTTTCACAGAAAGGCACCCAAGATGATCCGGTTGGATCCTTAAAATTAAAAAAAAAAAAAAAAAAAAAAAAAAAAACAAACATAAAAAGCAGGAGATACATTCTGTGACAGATCAGCGGTTAATGTATTCAGCGCGAGAGCCATCAGGTTGCGGAAGTGTTGCTATCTGCCTCACGGAAGCCGATACCAGTCACACTCAGGTTGTAGCTCTTTGTTTCCCACCTGGGCAGTTTTCCAGCTCAGAAGGTCCCCTAAACGCCCCTCAGGCCAAGCGGATAACAAGTCACTTTTTATAAAGAGCCAGAGGAGGAGAGATTAGTCCGTCCCATGAGCCAGGCAGCTGACGAGGGATGATTTACGGCGCCGCTGTAGCGGCTAGCAGAAGGAGAGCCCGCGTATGCGGTGGCTGGTTTTGGAAAAGGCGAGCTCGAACTGCAGGAATCCAATCTGTTGAAGCTGGCAAAGCAAATGAGCAGCTGCGGCCCTTTCTCGCCCCGCCGCTAAATAAGATAAACTAACCGGGTTAGGGAGGAACGCAGAAAGCTTCCCGCGCCGTCTCGGTGAGGGTCCGGCCACCGCACCTTACCTCCGCCGCCGCCCTGCACAAACACACAGACGCTGAGATGGACGCGGCAGCCGACGAAGTGTTTGACCCTGAGAAAGGCATTCACACACTCTAGGAAGCGGCGTTAGCGCTCTTTCTAATTCGCAGTGACAAACACGCAGATGCAGACTGTGTGGGCAGAGCGAGAGGAACAGGCTCAGAATGGAAACTGCTTTGACTAATAACAGGTTACACAAAGCTGCTCTTATGTTTTTATTCCAGAAGCTGTGATGATGAAGCCTCTGTAGTTTGTTCTGAGTGTAAATGGATATGGAAAAAAAAAAAGAAGAAAAAAAAGTATCTGAGAATTTGATTTTTTCAGATCATATTAAAACATTATCTCTGAGTTTAAACTTACTGAGGCTTTCTTTGGTCGGACAAATGGACTGCTGATGAGTGGATAGTATTAACTGACTGGTTCAATACATCAATAACATCGCGCCTTATGGGGAACCGGGCTATTAAACCACCATCCTTCTGTAGTCAGATTCACATTCACACACTCTTAACGACTGACGAGAGGTGATTCATGTACAGTTTCATGCAAAAAGATGGATAAATAGTTACAGATGGAGACGTCGCTGGGTCATTCAGAAGCTTCTAGTTTAGCATTTGATTCAATATAATTTTATATAAATTGGACCTGGTGGTTGGAGAGAGCCTTGACTTGCCAGTTATCTGATTTTTGAGGCTCTACTGTTTACATATTTTTGACTGACTGGAATTTGTTGATTGTCACCATTCTGCATTCTTAAGGGAATAACTGCATTCTCTAAAACACCTGCCATGAATTTTCCATCGCTGTCTCTGTAGTGAATCACATAGACAATGTCTGTCAAAAAGGCAACTTTAAAACTAACTCACTTCAGGAGTAAAACCACTACTGAGTGAAACAGACATGTGGAAGATTATCCAATCAATACCATTTGAGGGTGGAGTCAAACATCCAACCCCGCCCACTATCTGACCACGCCCCATTTCGTTGTCTGCCCATCTCCAACTCATTTGCGCAAGGGCTAAAAATAGTGTATGATTTAAAGAGAATAACAAAAGGTACAGATAGCATCTAGGATGTTTATATACATAGCTTACTAGATTACTGAGAATAAAAATCAAACAAATGTATGTGCCTGTGTATAATAATAATCAAACGTGAGCAAAGATGGAGTAAATGGGATAGTCTTGCATACTGTTAACACCTTTAGTTAATCTAAAAAAATGTCTGTGATTGGTCCACCAGAGGGCGCATTAACAGGTTAAATACTTCACAGTCTACACAGTTTTAGACAATTATTGTTCATTATAACGTAGGAAAATGTATCCTTTTATAGGAAATACGATTTTAAGTAAAGTAAATAAATAAGTCGTATGCGTTTTGTAGAACTACAACAGCGATGCGGAAGGATTTCTTTCAGGCCATTTATAAATGAGCTAGAGTTATGGATTGCAGTTCTGGAACAAATCGTGGAATGATATGACCCCAGGACTTTCTCAAATTTGCAGCAAAGCTGGCAATGTTGAGCTGAAAGTCAGGGTTTTCAAAGTCATCACTGTGCAGGTCTATAAGCCTGGCTGCGTTACATAACCTGGCTCTGTGAGAATGCTACGAGTTTAATATGCTGTCTGTAAGAATCTCCACCGGTTCAATAAATCTTTTCTCAGTCGTCTCAGATGGAAAAGTTTGAGCGAATCAACTGAAAATCTCAAAAGCTTCCCATTATCCCATAATCATGCCTTGATCTAAATGACATTTAATCACCTAATTTATCCTCATAAAAGCCTAATGGATTGCAGTCATAACAATTCATCCTTCTTGTCTTTCTCCTTTAACCACAAATGCTTTTCTCTGCTAAATTACAGCCATTTCACCCAAGAAACCCCAAGTGAAAAGTAAAAGCTATGCAAACATGTCATCTCTCCGGAACGTAATAAAAAAAAGGGCTGCCAAGAAGTGAATGCTGATGTTAGACTGAGTAAGTATTATAACAGACACAGATCTGTTAATATTTGATCAGCAGGAATCAGAGCAACACTTTTTTTTATGTTTGGAGATGTACATTTAGTGCTTCCTGTCTGCAGCTGCAGTTATGTAACTTACTTATTTTCAACCATTTTCTACAACATTCCTATTTAACAGCAGCTTTTCACCCTGATTGTCTCCATAAATACAGCCTGCATGTCTGCAGATAGCATTAGGTAGGGTGTTGTGTAATCAGTGTTTTTTTTTTCTTCTTCTTCCTTTCTGTAACTTTATTTGTGAGACTGACATGCTGTGAGTGGAAAAAGAAAAAAGTGTCAAACGATGTGGAAAATAATTGCTTCTATCTTCAGATGCTCTCGTCTGCGAGCAGAATGCCTGAGTTAACAACCTACCTTCTTATTTTGCTGCTGTTGTCCGTGAAGAGCTTTAAGCTTTGTTAAGCCGAAACACAGAACGGAAGCCCTGCTATGTTGAACCTACTTAGCAAGTTGCCCCATTGGACTCCACGTCCTTGATAAAGTCTTGCTCCAACAAACAAAATGGCTAGATTAGCTTCTCACCATGACCGTTTCTGGTGTGTTGGACCAGAGAAAGGTCTAAAACAAGAAGGACACGGTGCTTAAAGTCTGATTTTAAACAAGACTGGCCTAAACTATTGGGTCCAAGAACAAACTTTAATAACTCACGACCCGTGGATGCAAGAAAAGCGTGATTAATGTACGAATAGAGAAGAAGAGAAACAGCAAAAAAGGGACCTTGCTGTGAGAAAATCAGGTCAAATGCAGAGAATGAGCATAAATCGTTGCTATGGACTGGATCCCTCACCCTGACGCATCACCTCCACTCACACACTCATGCATTATAAATAATGTTTGGGAGCTTAGTGAATGCGTTTGCCATGAGTTTAGGAGTTAAAGATCTTTTAAGCTCGCGAGCAGCTCTGTGTAAAACCTGCTGACTTCAAACAACGTACTGAAACTGATGAGACAAATCGTGACGATTTGCCTTTAATAATACGATCTTTAATGTTTGTACTCTGGGTCCGTTTATCCAGGTCTGGACACACAGGACCCTTTAAAGACAGGGTGCAGCATCTTTTTTTAAAAGAAAAAGACTTGAGTTTTGAATTGCCAAATCCTGATTAGTATTCATATCCTTGGCTTAATGTTTTGTTGAAGCACACTGAGCAGCAATCGCAACCTCGAATCGTCCCGAGTACGTCTTTGCAAGCTTGGTACACCTCTTTGGAGAGTGTCGCATTAGTCTTCTCTGCTGGTCCTTTCACACTCAGTCATGTTTGATGGGCAGCGTCATTAGAGAACTGGTTTTAGACGTTTGATTTGACTCGAGTCTGGGCCACTCAGCGACAATTACAGATGGCTTCCGAAGCCGTCCTGTTGTCGTCTTGGTGGTCCTTCATGTTGTTGTGTTGGAAGATGAATTGTTGACTTAGTCTGAGGTCCAGAGCGTCGTGGAACAGTTTTTCTTGAAGAATCTGTCTTGTTTGGCAGCCAGAGGGGATTGATGACTTGAAAAAAAGGAAACGTCCTCTCCCAATAAAACTGCGAACACAGAGCTGTCGGGACATTTGTATATTGCCACAGATGACCCAATATGTTCTCATCTTGGTTCTTTCTTGGCTAGTGGTTGATCTAAAGCACGCCGTCAGCTGTCAGACCTTATGTAGGCAAGTGTGTTTAATTCCAAATTATGTTTGATCAGCTGAATGAAATCAGCTGAACAGGTGGGCTGCAGTCAAGCTGACCGAAACATCTCAAGAATTTCAGCGGAAGTCTGACGTGCCTTAACTTTTTGAGTTAAAGCACATCAGCCATCGTGTAAGGTTGTGATTAGTTATAGTTCCCATCCCAAAGATCCATAATTTTAAGAACTTTTGATTCTCTTTTTCTTGGTGGTGTGTTGCATAGGGAATTACCCTAATTCCTGTGTCTGACATACTTAAGGTTGCCATGAAGTCATTCATCATGTGGAACCTGATGAGTTACAAACGATGTGGAGTTTTCATCATCGTCGGACGCCGTTTGTTAGCTTAACAGCTCCTCCCAGCTGCAGAGGTACAATAGATCTTAATATCTGTCATTTTATCTCCTAAATGAAATGAATCCTTTTTGTTTCAGCCAGCCTGGCTCATCACGTCTCTAATTTCAGCAGATGCACGTTGCATTTGCATAACCCTCGCTGAAGGTGATGAGTTGGCAGTCGGTCAGGAGAGAGACGCTCAAAGCATCTTGCACTGGAGATGGGAGAGCAAAGAGTTGGTTTTACAGCTGTCTTTCGGGAGGGGGTGGGAAACATATCGGATCCCGGCGTAAACAAGGGGGAACAGACTTCCGGATCTGGTCTGCAGCGTTCCAGCGGAATCGTCTTCGACGTTTTGCGGCAGGCGTCACTTATTTGGAGCGTTTTAATTATGAAAACAGCTTTTCATAAATCCACAAAGTCCCAACTGCCGTAAATCTACTCATTGTTGTTGTGCTCAGTCTTTGGCAGTGTTTTAAACCCCCACAGTATTTCACTTTAAGCGTGTTCTGGCGCAGGATCAGAATAATTCTGCTTAAGTACAGTGAACCCTGAAGGCTAATCTGTCACAATAACGCACCTCGACTGGCCGACAGCAGCTTATATCATATCTGCGGCAGTAGACCTGCTAAATGGAGCCTTCTCTCTTCAGAGGACCTCTATCAGAGTGGGAGGATTTCATGATAAGTGCCTCTAAATTGCAGATATGTGTTCAGGTCACATTACACCAATGCTCTGCCTCACATTTAACTCAATTAAAGCTGACATGGCTGATGGGGCTCAGGGATGCCTCCGCTCCCATGGACCCATCTAATACCAGCAGGTCACCAATGTTTTTTAAACACTTTTCTTCCTGGAATGTAACATCCAGCTGATAGAAGCTAATTGTAGGGGCACAGACCTCGAAGGCAACCCAGAAAATAAGCAAAAGAAACTAACTTCAGTTTCTTCAAATCCTCTTTTCGAGCAGCTAAAGTTTCAGCTGTGTGAAAAAGTCTTTGCCTCCTTTCAGAATTTGTTTATTCTTATTTTGTCATGCTTTCAGACCACCAACCGTATTTTAATATGAGATAATCTGGATAAATACAAAAAGCTGTTTGAAAATGTATTTATTTTATTTACTAGGGTTGGAAAACACACGCAAACTAAACAATTTACGTGAAAAAGCAATTGTTCCACAACTGCCACCAAGCATTTGTGATAACTAGCAATAACTCTTTTCCATCAGAATCGTTTTAATTCAAACACGTTTAAGGGTTTTTGTGTTAAGTCAGAAAGTTTTGGAAACAACTATATCTACACATAATGCCAGGTTGATTTGGATGCCTTTTGGTATTAACGAAAGCATAATTAGGAAGATATTTTTGTGTTACCTCTGGTTATGTTTGATATTAAAGTCAATTTGATGATTTGAAAAACCAAATGACCAAAAAAAAAAAAAAAATCAAAAATCAAAAGTCAAGAGCAGAAAAAATTTTTTGAAATGGTTTTAATAATCAGTTCTGTAAAGTTTATTTCTAAAGGTTTGACAGATTTTCCTCTTGATTTGAGTTCAAGAGGAAACGAACAAATGAACAAGGGCTCAGTTCTTGTCTTCATTCTGGAAATATTTAAGCGTATCTTTGTGCTATTATTATTATTATTATTATTATTATTATTATTATTAGATGTTTCTGTGCTTTGGTTTTAATCCCATCAGGAACAGCAGAGCCACCAGCGGTGTGGATCCACTCATAAATGAAGTTAATATGTTATCCTGCCCAAAGCATCACCTCTAATCACCCTGCGGCTCTACTTACAGTCGGCTCACCCCTGCAGCACACTTTGTCCCAGGCTGCACAGCCGTCCCACAGCCATTCATCTGCACTTCTTTCTGTACTATTTTCAACTCTTGTTTTGATCCTATGATTTTTTTCCCCCTCGTCCTTTTTAAATACTCTTTTTTTTAATCCCACTCATCCTACTCACCTCTGATGTAATGCTAAGCCTCTTTCGTTAGACTGCTTTTATGACATTTTGCATACCATTCCACCTTCTTACAAACTTCTTTCCTCCCAGTATTCCTTCATTCTTCTTCTTCACATCCCACTTATTACATCCCACTCATCCTACCCATTTCTCTTATAACAGTGTTTGTTTGTTTTTTGCACTCATTCTGTTTTGCTTGATTCCATGTCATTTGCACTATTCTGACTTCCTTAGCACTTTTTAAAAAAAATAGTTCAATAGAGATACAGTTTTTCATTCATTTGCTTAGTTGTACAGATGGACTCATGCGCAAATTTGGACCGATATCGATATCGATACTGCTGCTATGAATGATAACCGATATTTACCGATATTGTATGTGTGTAAAAGCAAAGGCACTGCCTACGTTGCTTCTCTGCTTCAGCTTCACATCCCATAATCAGGTGCTGCATCATTATCACCGTCACATGACTGAACAAATACTACATGGCTAACCCTCCGCGCCTCCCGAAACACAATGGCAACTAGATAGAAACGGACATCAGTCGTTAATGTTTGCCCAGTTTCACTTATCGAATAAAACAAATGACTAATGCTGATGCAGATATGTTGTGCATCTTTACTTACTTTGAGTCCAACCTGACATTCCTGTTTTCAGACTGTTGGAGGAAAATGAAAAAATTAAGAACCAACACATCCTCAGACAGACCTCGGCTCTGATTAAAGCCCAGGACGTTCTAGCTACGATCCAACAGCGCCGTCGGTTTCCCCCCACAATGCAGCCTAGATCCAGTCGATTACTTAAAAATTCAGTCTCATCTCATTTTCAGTACTACTTGGTTACACTCGTTCGCCTTCATCTCTACTTTTTTTTTTTTTCCTCTCCCACGTGGGAGGTCTGAAGTTTTCCTCTTCGTTTGTCTACCGAGGTTGGACGCCCCGTCTCCTCCTTCCTGGTCTCTAATCATTAGACTCCTCAGATGAAACTCAACCTTTTGATCCATTTCTACCGACATCCTGCCTATCTTGACTTTGATCCAACTAAACCCAGATTCTGTGGTGTCGGTGCTTTAATATGTAACCGCGTGTGAATATATTATTACTCAAAAAAAAAAAAAAAAAAAAAGAAAACCGTCGCATCCCTACAAAATCGTGTGGAAATGAAGCAGGCAGAAATAATTGAGGGCAAAGGTTAAGAGACTTCTTTCAGACCCAATCATTGTTTTTTTTATTTTTATTTCTCTGACAATAAATCTATAGTTATAATTTACATATGCAGTGTTTAAAAAAACAAAGGCTTTATATGAAAATGACCAACAATAAAAGGAGGTGGGGTTTAATTTTTACACCACCGAGGTACTCACACCTCCAGACTTAATTACACTGATTTCAGACATTGTAATTCTTGTTTGGGGAGCAAAATATACAGTTCACTGAGTCTCTCCGGGAGAGGCTTAAGGAAATGTGTGCAATGTAAAGAACAACCTCTGTTCCTCCATGTAATATTAACCGAGAGGTCTGCTACATGTGTTTTAATTCTCAACGGGTTTTGCTCGCCACCGATTTGCCACATGGGCAGCTTTTGGAGATAAATTACACCTCTTGTATTAGCAATGATTAAGCACCTAATAGGAATGGATTTTCCTGCATGAGGGCGATGAAAAGACCAAGGCCAGTAAGCATAATTGCATTGACTGCGTGCGCAGAAACGGTCCGTTTTTGTCGATTAACGGGGCCCGGAGTAATCAGACGAGTGATAAAAAAACAAAAAAAACAAAGTGAAACAAAGCCGAGCTCGTCCTCCAAATTCCCTCTTCAATTCTTAAAGGTGAAGTCCCGCTGTGGCAACCTGCAGGATAACAAATGGCAGTCTTAATTTTTCTTCAATACGTTTTGTGCTCTGAAGAGAAAAAAAGGTGGCGTCTTAATTTGAGTTAAATCAACACAGAGCCCAGTTTGATTCTCTCTCTCTTTTTTTTTTAGAATAATTAGAATAAGTAAGAGTGAAATTATGAAGAAGCAACAGTAGGAATTTCCCGTCTGCAGAGTCCAACTGATTTCTTTCACTGTCCCTTGGACTCAAAGTAAAGCAGCAACACGACAAAAACATCGGCAGCTTGTCTTTTACTAACTAAAACAAGCAGTCGGCCGATCACTTTTATCTATTTCTGTCTGATTTTAGCAGCTGTTATATATCATTCTGAAGACAGGAAGCATTTTGTCTTTCAGCCTTTGATTCTATTTGCTACTACTTACATTTTTTTAGAAATAGATATAAAATGGTCAGACTTTCTACTTATTCATAAAATCTCATCTTGTTGTCTTGACTCAGCCACTGTTTGCTCTGTTTTAGCTGTGTTAGTTGCCCTGCATCTGGTTTCTGAATTACAATAAGGCTTAAATTTGCTGATTGTGTTTTTTTTAGTGCATTTTTTTAATTTCCCATTTTAAATCTCAAACTTTTTAAATAAATAAAGGCTTGTGTTGTTATGTACGACTGCCAGTAGGTACTTTTTAACGCAGTCTAAGAATATCGTCACTTTGTGCGAGTCTCAGCTGCCATAAAGCCACTCAGAGATGAATAGGTGCAGAGTTTATGGTGCCACATCTCAGAAGCTGCTAAATCTCAGAGTTAAACCTGCTGCTCTCCCCGGTTTTTGCAGCCAAGCTAGAGCTCCGGGACACAAAGCCAGGTACTGCTGGTTGATTACCTGCCAGAGTGAGGAGGAGGCTTGATAAACACAACAGCTCCGATGCATTGTGCTTTCGTAACAGTGGCAAATAAATTGCATTTGGCTGCCGGGCTAGCGCGAAGTTCCCACCTTGGACGTAATGCAGGAACGTTTGCGGAAAAGGTCAGACTCACAAATCACATGTCGGTGTTTGGCAACTTTAAAAGAATTCCCACATTTCTGCGGTCTTGATTAACTATTCGGCTCGTTCAGAAACAAATAATCTGACCTTAGAGATTGGAGCATTTGTGTGCGGTAAATGCCAAACAATATTTCTGGACACCGTTTGCTGCTTGTTTATGCAAACCAATCATGTGTGCCACTGAAGTAATTTTAAGGTTTTCAAAGAATTTAAAAAAAAGGAAGAGGGGGCAGGGGGCGGGGGGAGAAGAAATCAATTTCTTTTAGGGCAGGGGTCACAAGCACAAGTCCTTGAGGGTTAGGTTTCTGCAACTTCTAAATGCGTCACTTCTCCAACACTCCTGACTCAAAAGTTAGCTTATTAACGGAGCTCTGTAGAAATATGCTAGGGAGGCATAAGACATTGGAGGTTTTTTGTAAAGTTATTTTTAAACGATCTGAAATCCTTTGTGCTCAAGAGAAAAAAATAATTCAAAAGTGGAAGATCTTTAATACAGCTGCCAATCTTCCCAGGAGTGGACATCGCAGCAAACTTATCTCAGAGTTCAATTGCTCAGAGAAATTACAAAAGAGCTCCATCTCAAACTCAACACTGAAATGTGTTTTTTCTTTGAACCAACTTTTTTTTTTTAAAGACTCTAACTTGTTACAGCTAATTTTATGAGATTTGCTCAAGATATAGTTCTGATCAAATCAGAATCAGAATCACAGCTTGAGCAAAACTCATAAAATTAGCTGTAACAAATTAGAGTAATTTCTTTTCCCAGTACAGTATCAGTGATGGCGTTTGCAGTGGGCAGCTTGATGAGAAGCCAGAGGCGAGCAGAACTGGATGATTCAAAACGACGCTGGAGGTTGTTGTGGAGTCAGAAAATGTATTTTGGCACGAGAACGCTGGCTTTGCCAACATGATGCCACTTAGCCGCTTAGTGATTAAAGCGGAGTGGTGTTTGAGTTATCACACTTAAGAGTAATGTGGTGCTTTTTACATCAGGCTCTGCTGCGACGAATCACAAACCGTGGGTAATAAAATGGAACAGAATGACAACATCTCAAAATAGAAACAGACATTTCTTTTTCTGAGCTGGGAAACTGACTTAAAACATAAAGGTAAAAAAAATCACTCCATTCTTTAAAAATAAATCAAATATTATTTTATACATTCAGCTTTTTAGTAGATAAAAAAAGTCCTTATTTTGCACTTATTTCAGGACTTGTGCTCATGCATTTAGACTTATTACCACTAGAGGGCCACTTTATTATTTGCAACTTGAAATAAAAATCCACAAAACTTTATTCATGTATTTTATAGAATTTTTAATGCACTTTATAATTAATATATGTCTTTTAGTTCAACCTAAGTCAAAGAAAAAAGAAATACCCCACCGCTGTATATTTTCTAGTTGGGCTTTAATAAATACTACCTCAAAACAGACATGAGAAATAGACTCCGAGGAGCTTAACATTCATGGAGGTTGGATCTCGAGCTGCCAAAGGGCTGCAAGGGGGCCCCCAGTTTCCCTCCCGTTCCCCCCGAGCTGCACTCATTATTAATTAAACCTGTTGAAATTTAAGGCTCTCCCAGCTGCAGCCATGAGGAGAAATATAAACTTCACCTCGATTCCCGCAGCATGTCTCTGACAGCTGGAACAAGATTCCTCACTAATTGAAGGCGCCTGAATGACTGCAACCTGTGATTGATCGATCAAGCCCGGAAGCTGGACGGCGTTCTCTTGCTGCACAGCCAGGAAGGCCCTAAAAAAATCCATTGCCAAGTTTTGATCTGCTGCGGAGATTAGTTTATTTGGAAACTCCGTGAGAGGAATGAGCAAACGCGGGCTGAGGGGAGTTCTTACACAGAGGCGGGAATTTCTTAACTGCGCTTGACAAATTTTCAAAACGTCTCACTCGAGCTTAGGAGTTTTTAAGTAAGCGTCTCGTTTAAAAGTGACAGTGGGAAGGAACAGGAGATGGACGATTTGAACTGTTTCTGCTGTAATGACGTCTTCGCTCTTGTCTTTTTGGAGTGTAAGGAAGGAGCAATGCTGAAACAGGAGACGCTTAATTCAGGGGGTCGGACTTTTACAATCCAGTCCTCACCTGTGGACGGGTTAGCGTCATGATTAAATAAGAAGCTCCTTATTTAACACGCTCATTTCAGTTGCAGATACTCAACTGAAGGCAGATACTCGAGTATCTGCGAGGCAGATACTCGATTAGGCACAAAATTTTCTCTGTAATACAGCGGCTACATTCTGCTACTGATCTTCAGTAATGCATTCTCTGTAGTTATTGCTGACATTAACGTTATGCTCTCTCTCTGGAGGCGGCCATTGACTGAACTATTGCTGCCAATAACCTAATAGATAAAACACTTGACTTCTGTGTTTAACTTTGTCTCTATCCTAGGTAAAGCAACTGAAGGAGCCATTGTTGTTACCAACCACATTGTCCACTGTTCTGTTCTTCATTCCATAGATTGTGCAAGAGTCTCAGACTTTGTGTTTAGCTGTATTTCTGTCCTGGATGCAGTCTTTAAAGGGACAACTGAGGCTTTTTCCTTATTCTATTTTTTTTTTTAAATAGAAAGTGCTCCTGCAACCAGGGCTTCACGGTTTTTCTGTGAGGGTAATTGCTCTCTCTTTTCAATCGGCCAATCGGCTGCAGAAAACTTCCTTTAGCATGCAGAGCCATGCTAACGGGGAGTTTTCTTTTCTGCTGTCACTACATTCATGCTCAGCATAAGGGATTGTTGCAAAGTTTACAACTTGAAGCAGTTTGCTCAGTTTTGTTAGGTAGGAAACTTGTTTAATGAGTTATCATGAAAATTATAACTAGGAAGGAGTTAAGATGTATATGTGTCTGTATGATTGGATTGTACATGTTATTGCATGTGAAGTATAACCTGTTTGTCATGAAAAGAGGCTTGAGATGGCATTATGAATAAAGGGTTAAACGAACAACCTTAATTGAATTGATAATTTTTCCAGAGGATCTCAAAACAGTGATAAAACCTCTTATAAAGAAAGTTATTGTGGATGCCAAAAAAAAATAAAAAAAAATAAAAAATCAACATCTCCCACAATATCTATACTAGTGGAATATAACATAGATTTTATCTCTTTATTTACATTTCACTACTTGACCACAGTTCAGGAGAGTCAATGAGTCAGTGTGTCCCAAATATCCATGAGTGGAAAGGCCAAATTTTTATACAACTAAATATAGAAAAGACAAAATTTTCTTTTCTAATATATGATCACCTATAATTTATTCTTGGCCCCCCCCAAATAAATGCCAGAGTTAGTTTATATATCATGTTTGTGTTGCTCGACAAGATCTGAACAAAGTGAGACATTATTGTATGTTTCAGGATAAGGTAATAAAAAATTATTTTACCCATGTTGAAATAATATCCTATGTGTACATATTTTTATAAATGACTTTATGATCTTCCACTTCTTCCTTTAAGACGGATAGCAACCAACTTGCCACAAATAATTATTTCATACATCAACTTCCTACCTATGTAAATATACAGAATAAGCTTTGGGTGGATTTGACCCACCCAATGACGTCCAATGACGTCCAACCACCTACCGTGAAACGGAAACGGAACGTAGCAGCTGATTGGCTAAAATTCGGCAGGTGAATGGCGACGTAATGTCAACGTCTCAGCTTAGAAACAATAGTTTAGGACTCAAAAATGGATAAACGGGAGGCGTCATCTTAGGTGTTTCCGGTTTATTAAGGTCAATCAAAGGTGTTGGCTGACGGTCACGGAACCGAACAGAACCAAAAGGTTTGTCTAAAACAAGAAAGTGTTAAATTCTCAAGTCTCTGTTTGCATAAACAGGTAAAACAGTTTAATTTAACGTCATGTAAAAGAAATCAACCTTTCGACACTATTGCAGCACCTGTTGCTAATTGAGCGCTGATTAACAGGAATGTTTACTGCAGTCACGCAACCAGCCATAGGCTGCAGCCTATGTAATGAGCAGATGTAATGAGCCTTTCAGAACATGAGCTGTACAAACAATTATATCATATTTTAATCTTCTGAAGACTATCATGCAAACATGTGTCGGAATTAAGGGTTCATACACATGTTCTGCTACATTTGTGTAACTGTGCTATTATTTATATCAGTTTTTAAGCCAAATTGTAACAAAAAACCTGGTTTTACACTCAATATTTTAATTGCATTAACTACATTTTAATGGTCATGTTTCCTTTAATTTTTCCCCCATTTACATATTGAATTACTTTCATAAAATCAGTGGTGGGAAGTAACGAAGTACAAGTACTTCGTTACAAGTTACTGTACTTAAGTACAATTTTCGTGTATCTGTACTTAAGTAGATTTAATAATGGATACTTTCTACTTTTACTCTACTACATTTTACAGTAAGTATCTGTACTTTCTACTTCACTACATTTCTACAAAACTGTCGCGTTACTCGTGACATCTAAGTCGCATTTCGCTTTTTTTCCGTTAAAATGTGAAGTTCAGGGTCTTAAGGTGGCGCCGTAAAATCCAAGCAATAACGGGACTTACGTGCCTTTTGTCACCCATCCCTCCACCTTTACTCCCGCGGAGCTCCAGGCATGCGCAGTGGTTTCCTCTGAGCGGGAGAAGATGTATGTCAAATCGTCAGTAACATAATAGCGCTGCATAAATCATAAGATATGGTGACATGTAAAATCAGCAGCGCTTCGCTTTGACAGACGGTGGGGATTTAGTCCAACTTTTAGCGTCACTTGGAAGGAAAGCTTAAAGAAAGGTAAGCTCTGTGGACCTGATGCTAGCAAAGCTAGCTGTACTACTGAAACACTTATGTTGCATCTGCGATGAAAAAAGTAGCCACTCATGACTGAGGTGTCGCATACATGGGACCAAAGTCTGCCCCACTGCGTGCGTACACTGCAGTTATTTTACTTCATTTATATATATATATATGTATAAAGGCCTGGGAAAAAAAAATCCCCTTCTCTCCCTCCGTGTGTGGTCTCTTTCATCCTCTGAGCTTGGGTCCTCTACCAGAGGCCTGGGAGCTTGAGGGTTCTTCTCCAGTATCTTGGCTGTGCCTAGAACTGCACATTTCTGGACTGAGATGTCTGATGTTGTTCCTGGGATCTGTTTGAGCCACTGCTCCAGTTTGGGGGTGACTGCCCCGAGGGCCCCGATGACCACAGGCACCACTGTGGTCTTCACCTTCCAGGCCTTTTCCAGCCTGTTTCCAGCCAAGATACTGCTGGAAACAGGCTCATCCTCTGAGCTCGGGTCCTCTACCAGAGGCCTGGGAACTCCCAGGCTCCCAGGCCTTGTCAAAACATAGTAAGAGGATATTTATATAGGAAAAAGTGGAGTTTAGTATCAAGTATGGAAGCTTGAGTGGCCTAAAAGGAAGATGGTAAACGTAATGATTCATTTTTTATTGTCTAAAGGTCGCGGGAGAAGAACATTAGATACTGCCGCTGTGAAGGTTTATAATACAAAATTATTGACATGGCTTTTGTAAAACCAGCTTTTCTTATGTTATCCTGAATTACTGTTTTCTAATTTTGAGTTATTTGTTTTTATATTAAAGTGAACTAATACTCTCAGCAGATAAAGAGCAACAGCATCTTGATGTTGTGTCTTTTATAAATACTGATACCAGGATTAAAGAGCTCACATCATTCAAGTTGTTTCCATCATGTGATGAGCATTTATTGGATATACTTTGTCTGTTTTTTTTTGTTTTTTTTGCATTATTCACAGGAGGATTGCTCATATCCCTGTAGTCATATTTTTTTAAAAGAATAAAAAGACTCTAGCCTTCGTATGATGTATTAATTTGGAATCAAAGTGTGACAGTCTGTGATTTATGATTATGTTTTGTTTTCCTTATTTGTGCTATATTGCAGGGTTCCTGCTTCACTCAGGAAAAAAAACAAAACAAAATGAAATCTCAATGTTTTTTTTTTTGTTTTTTTTCCTGACTCCTGAAGGATTATTTTTTTTCTTTACTCGTCCAGGTGCGATATTTGAGGAGAACGCAGTGCGGGACGATGAGGTGTTCCAGCTCGCCGTGTCCGACCTCAGTCTGAGCGATGACATCCTGCACAGCGAAAAGATTACGCATTCCATAAAGCTCATCGAGCCCAACAACCCTTTCCAGGCAGTGCAGGAAGGTAAGGACGCAGCGGCGGCGGCGGCGACGTGTTAAAACATGGCGATTCTGGACGCTTTTGTTTTATGTGTGGTTTATTCTTGCGGTTTGGATGCATTTACCTCTGGTTTGGTCATCTGTTGATTTTATTTCCTGAAGCATTCTCATGATGAACGACCCTCATCTGAACCTCCTAAATGGCGTTTAAACTGGGTCAGCAGTCTGCTCTGAGTGTGTGCTCGTGGCTGTTTGTTTCTTCCGCACTTTCTCTTTCCGAACACTCCCTCTTTTGAGCCGGACTCCAGTTCTAACCTGAGGCCCCGAGCCTCCACCCTCGCCACAGACACTTGTATGCCTTTCCACTTTAAATAGATTTATGATCACATCCCAGTAAGGCGAGAGATGTTGGTGATAAACAGATACTTGTGCTGCTCTGTATGCTGATGCTGCTGAATGTGCTGATTACAGTGTGAATGTTGAAGTGATTACAACTGTGGAAGAAAACTGAAGTATTTTCATGCGTGCTGAGAGGAAGGTGATGCTGTTATCACAGTTTAGCTGCACTAACTGCGTTTGCTGCTACTATTGTGTATTTTTAGAAATGTTTCTTTGAGGTTAAAAAAAGCGCTTTGTCGTCAAAACCTATGGCCTGTTGGGAGGGGAAAAAGAATGTATTTTTTTTTTTTTTTAGAATAACTCGCACATAAACACAGATATATAAACCTAAGAATCCCCCCCCTCCAGCTGAAAACCTGAGTGGCAAACATGAATGTTCCAGAAAGAAGGCTTGGAGTTGTTCATCTTAAGCATTACTGACTTGGCACACTACAGCGAAGTTCTCTAAAGGTTTACTTTAAAACATAGAGGTTTATGCCTCAGGCGCTGCCACAGTTTTACATCCTACCCTTCAAAAAAAATAAAACGGGAAACGTGTCTTTGTTCCCACATGTTTCACCTAAAGAAGCTGAAATCTTCAACTCAAAGACATGAAGGGATTAGTTACAAACGGTGGACAGGAGCTGAAACAGATATAATTGGTTTGTCTGGTGTTGTTTTGTAAAGATTAGGGTTTTCTTTAGTCAACATAATTCATTGATTTGATATTAATTTTTACTCGCCAATTTTTACATTTGGCCACATTTTACAATAAGGATAAGAGAAATACTTGGTAAGAATTGTTGTGAGGTGTTAGTCAAAATGTCTGATGGCGCATATCTTGGTTAGAAATGAATTTACCTCATAAAACCTGTCCACATTATTTACATTTACAAATTTTAAAATATGAACTTTTTGGATTTTGCTACAATCCAAACTAGGACCGTTAACATCTATATTTCACTATGATAGCCACTAAAAAAACTAATTACACAAAAAGATAGTCGATACAAACCAACCCGTACATGTCTGTCAAAATAGTTAAATTTTTTTCAGGAGCAGAGCTCAAATAACAGAAACTTTAGACCCTCCTTGCAGCCACTCGTCTGACTAAAGTCGGGACTAGGCCTGTCACCATAACACATCTTGCTGGACGATAAATTGCTCCAGAAGTTATTGCGATAATCGATAATATTGTTATTTTGAGACCACTTTTAAGTAATATAACTGTAAAAAATGCAAGAACACTTTATCAAAGATCAATAAACTTTAAATTATAATGAACAACTAACACTGGACCTGGATGACATTTTAAATTTCCAAAATAAAAAAAATCAAAGCAATAAATAAAATGAATTAAGTCTTTGTAACGCAGATTATAGCCCAAGCATCAAACTGAAGACTTTTCTCATTCAGTTTTTAAAGAGAGGAAAAAAGAGATAAACAATAAATCATGCCAATGACAATTACTGAGTTCGTCATTTATCATGCAATGAATTGATTTCTTGATTATTGTGACAGGTGTAGTCGGGACAATTTTGACTCTGTGGATTAAAAAAAAATACACAATACATTTTAACCTGAATGTATTCATGAGGAGCCAGTTCTTGTTTTTGTTTCGAGTCTTTTGGTTTTGGGTGCATTTTCCACCCTCCACGCTAACAGAGTGTTGTTCATACAACCTTAAAGGATGAAAATGAAAAAGGACATAACTTTTCAGTTGCACTTTTCATACCTTTTGACATCTTTTGTAATTATAGTCAGAAGTTAACAATTACTGGAGGTGAGATCACACTGAACTCTGAAACCTTAGCATGCTTGAGAAGTCTTTAAACCCCCCCTTTTTAAAATCTCCCATGGAAACAGTGCACTTGTAACATGAATATTTCACTCGGGTTGATTTTTGATGTTTGGGAGAAAGTCTAAAGTATTTATAGCTGTAAACTAAAATTTACTTGGGGGGTAGGGGGGGGGGAGTTAAATTGTTTCTATGCTGAATACTCATCCTTTTTGGCTTATTTACATTTTTCTGCTAATTGAAGGAGAAAATGCTGCTTTCATTCATATGAAAATTTGATTTGCGGGACATAAACAGAACTCCAACGTTTTTACCACTCATCGACATAATTGCAAACTTATTAACATGCACTGAATTAAAATGCATAAACATGAATAGAGACGCTTTTCTTCCTCTGCATTGCGATAGCCGTGATGTGAATGGATGTGTGGATGTGACCTGCTTTTTAAAGGTCCGTAGGGCAAAATAATCACTTACCTGCTGTAGTCATCAGCCATTTAAATGCTGCTCTTTTAGATGCTTTGTTTAAGGACATATGATTAGCATCAGCATGATGGGCTGTTAACGCCAGGGGATATTTGTCAGAATTATGGCAAATCTTGGTGCTTTTCTATGTCAATCTGCACAGTTTATTAAAGGATTTATTTGGAAAATAAAAGTATTTTGCTATTAATGAAGTTCAAACTGACTTAATCAGCTTTAAGCAGTTATATATATTTATTTCCATTACAAGAAGATTTTATATCCTTAAGTGAAAATATGTTAACAAATGCTGCGGTTTCATTTTATTTTTTTGAAGCATTTATGCATTAAAATTATGTAACTCCTGGTGCACCGCCACCTAATCCACTTTCTCCCTGTTTAGCAGTTAAATTTGATGGCTAAACAGCCACCACCATTAAACAGAGTAATGAACTTGATGTGCTACTTCATGCAGGTTAAATACCTGAACAGAGGGAGCATGAAAGATGAAACGGAGGGCGGCAGGAGTTAGTCCAGCAGTAAATGTCAGAGGGATGGGAAGCAGATGAAGCGACTGAAGAAAAAACAGGAGGGAGGAATACATGAAGCAATGAAAAAAAAAAAACAACAAAAAAAAAACAACAAAGACACAGACAAGGATGGAGGAAACAAACGGAAAATGAGACATCTCAATGATTGTTTTATCAAATCATGGAGCTATGGGATGATGGGGAGATGGGTTTTTTTTCTGTGTGCTGATGATTATGACCCGGCTGCTTTCTTGGTTGGTTTGACCTTTCTCAAAGCTCCAGTGATCCGTGGCCCTGGGAGACTCCAACAGCCCGGGCTGTAGTGGATTATGGGTAATAAGAGAGGGATTCACATTCTGCTGTGTGTGTTTTGTGGGCTGTTTATGTGTTCCTGTGTAGCTCGATGAACTTTGTTGGCTTTCTTGATGCTGCAACAGTTTGTGTTGCTTTCTGAATGTCTGTTTACTCTCATAAAACTTTGCTTGGTAATTTTCTCAAGTAGATTTACATTGGTCTCGCTGAATTTAATGACAAGGTTATTTAAGATTCATACTGTTCAATATATATTTTTTTATTTAAGAGTAAGAGGAACATTTAGTTTTGATCTTTTGATTTAAGTCAAGGTAAGTTTATTCATGCGCATGATATTTCAAAGAAAACAAGGAAAAGAATTCACATAGAAAACAAAAAAAAAGTAAAAATTAAAGCATCTAAAAAGTTTAAAAAGCTAATTAAAAATCCACAACATGATGGAAAAAGTAATTTTTTTTACCAAAACATGCGGCTAATCAGAGCTGAGGGTCCTTCTGGCCCTGATCATATTAAATGAACAGGTCTAAGAGTGCATTCACACCAGCCTTGTTTAGTCTGCTGTAATTAAACTCTAGTTAGTTTACCTGCAAGGTCTGGTATGTTTGGGGAGGTGCGAATGTGCAATTTAACTCTAACGCAGACCAAAAAGGTGAACCACTTAAAAACCTAGATCTCAGTTTAATTAAAGTGAACTCTGGCACGGGTTGAATGCATAAGCGGACCAGAGATGGCACCAAAAGCAGGAAGTGGACAATAGTGCCGGTCAATATGCATCAGTGCAACCAAAACAAATGTATGTGTCTAGAGCTAGCAGGAGAAATGATTCATAGTCTTTTGCCGGTGACTGAAGACAAATCCTCCAACTGCAAAAATCCTGTCTCTCCATTTTTGTTTACATTTTGTGAAGATGGAAGTTGTGCTCAGTGTTGTCTTCAGTGGTTCTTGTGTCATTTCCTTCTGTGGTTCTTGTTGCAGCGCCACCACAGGCGACATGGGTAAGCGAGTTGCTCAAAGGTTTTGGTTTGTTTGACATGGTGAGGCGTGAAAGGGAACCGTGCCAGCTTTCCAAATGTTGCAATTTAGCTCCCCAATCAAGCAATCTACCAGACTATCAGGACTGAAAACACCCTGAGACAACCAGAGAGGTTTACATAGTTCATACCTGACCACCAAATCTGGAATATCTTCATTCAATTTGCTGTACTTGCTGAAGAGGGACACTGCTTTAATTAACATTTTGAACAACATAAATGGAAACGCACCCAACTATAGCAAAGGCTGATTTCCATTGTGTGTCCCTTTGCCAGATGGTACAGGCTTAATTACCTAAAATTAAGATTTTAGATTTTATTGTCTTAAACTAGGAGCTTTAGCAGCGATTTAAGGACTAGTGTGATGCGATGCATATTCCTGGTGTCGGCTAAAACTCTGGCAGCAACACCTTGGATGAGCTGCAGCTGCCTTTACTTTCCTAGAATCATGTATAGACACCATTACAACAATCTAACCTGAAACTAAAAACATAGATTAGTTTGAACAAGCTCT